ATCGAACTTAAAACAATATTTTTGTAACTAGTGCCCGTAGGGCTTCATTCTGGACGAGTTTGAAGAAATTTGACTTTTTTGCTATTTCCAAGTCTAGTTGATATTTAGGCGAAGCTGCTCCTAAGTCCTTTTTGTGATTGACAGCTGTTGTCTTTTTAGTTTATTTGAACAATTCTATAGAACAGCGGATGCGCGCTGACGCCACCTTTCGATTTCCTCGTTTTTAAAGTGACGCTTGCGTTGAAAATATTATTCGAATGTGTGGGGAAATAAATGGATTCTTCATCATTAAACAAATATTAAAAGAAGACTTGACCGTGCTCTGTTCTGTTGTAAAGCACTTCAGAAGCAGTAGAGGCCTAAAAAAGAAGGGAGAAACACTCGACTACGCCTCGTGTTTCTTTGGTGCTCTACCGCCTCCTGCGTTCTTGACAACAGAGCAGAACACAGTCAAGGCTTCATAATTTGTTAAATAAAGTTTGCAATAGTTTTTTTTTTGGGTGTGTGTGTGTTTGGTTTTTATTTTATTTTTATTTTTTGTTTTTTCTCTTTGGTGGTTTTTTTTTCCTGGGGAAAAAAGCAAAATAAAGTGTAAATGACCAATGATGTTAACTACAGATAGAGCAGACGAGGGTTAATTTTAAGAAAGCCGATGTAATTAGTATTCCGTCTAATCTTACTGGGCGCTCCAAAGTCTTTTGAACGAAGCTTTTTATACTATATCTTAAATAACTATTTACCAGTAAATTACAGTTCAGTGCAAACTAATGTCTATTTTATTACTAGAACCATTTTTACGGACCATGCTTTGCCGCTAAAGATGGTTAGCAATAGATCTTGTTCTCTTTAAAGACTGCGTTTTGATCTAGACGGGAAACACAAGAAATAGCGAACGCTTAAATTCTAAAATCAAAGGCAGAAAAATACCTATAACGCTAGAACTAAGTTCGAGAAAAGAACTTTTTCAACCAGTTTCTTGCACGCTGTTAGAATGGTTGCAACGATGCCTAAACGACAAATGTATCTCACGAAAGTAAGCAACTTTATAGAACATTATTAATCAGGTTCTGTAAATCGGATAACTTCAAAGGTAACACATTTTTTTCATTTTTAATGCAACAGAACATTGTTTCCTATTCGGAAAACAGCGACACTTGTGGTGAGCAGATATCAGACAGAAATGGAAATTAGTACTAACTCTTGGTAAACGCATGAATATTTGAGATATTTAATTGCCATTACTTAAACTCTTCGCACAGAAGCCGAGAAAGGATAAAACCAAACGTGTTAATAAAAGCAAGATTACGACGGGATTTTGGAAAACACCGCTTTCGCAGTAGCCTTATAGAAACAACCTTTAAAGGGGCTTTGACATGGCACTTAGCGGTTCCAAATCCCATCACGTTTTCTATTTAGAGTTTGTTGTGTCTTCTCTACTGAACATTTTCCATTCAGGATCTTGAGTTAAGTGCGTCATAAATTCTGCCCAATCTGTGTATTGCAGATTAAAATTACTGATTACTTAATTATATTTTGAAACTGAGAAAAATGATGGCAATGTAAATTAAGTTGGTGAAATTGTGATCCGGTGATTAACGCATTACTCCATGCAAATCAAGGAGAAAAGTGACACTAAATATTGACCAGTGCCTGTTCAAAACAATTAAATCCATCTAAATGGCAAATTGCAAAACGTTACGAGGCCTTGACAAGTCAGAATCGAGCAAATATGAATCACACTGCATTCAACAGCACAGTCTCTAGTTGCGGTAATTCCCTTTATTCTATAAATCTCGCAAACATTTCCCCTGATGTTCGCGCTGTATCAATCGTCAGAATCGTCGGGAACACTCTCACCTGTCCTCTTACCACTGTACTCAACATCCTGGTGATGGTTGCAGTTAAAACAAAACGACAGCTTCGCACTAAATCTAACACAGCACTCACCTGCTTGTCCACAACTGATCTTATAGTTGGACTATTTCTTCAACCAATACACATTTTCAGCGCAAGTTCCCTTCTCAGAGGTGACATCATGTTCTGTACCATAACCGATATATCAGCAATTACCACATCTATATGCTCTCTGGCTTCACTGCATCACATAGTCTTAATGAGCGCCGAGCGTTATGTTGCAATAAAACACCCCTTCACACACGAGACCCAGGTCACTGAAGTTCGCATCATCATGGCGTCTGCTTTGGCGTGGGCTGCAGCCATCATCCTTTACATCATAGGCCATCCGTACACAGTGATTGTAATAGTTTGTGAAACGCTACTTATCATTCTCCCCGTTTACTTCAATGTCTCTGTATACAAAGAAGTCCTTCGCAACCAAAAACAAATTGCAGCTAACCAAGTTTCCTTAGAAGCCAAGGAAAGATTACTCAAGAAAAGAAAAGCTTTTTACACAACAACTATCGTGCTGCTAGTTATTTTGCTGTGTTATGTTCCATCAAGTATCTGTTCTGCTATTATGGTCTCTTTCAAGGAAAAGATCCCTTCCAATGTAATGGTTACTACTTTGTTTACCTCTACTTTATTTCCAATTCTGAATTCGTTGTTTAATCCGTTGATTTACGCTTTTAGAATTAGATATTTCCGCGTAGCTTTTATTCAGTTGTTGGCAAGAAAAAAAAACTATTTCACAAGCTGAGGAAGTGGAAAAGAAAATCTTTGGACTAAGACAGATTGGAGTCAATGGTAATGTTGATGCAGGACAAGGAAATCAGACATTGAAAGATGAACACGAATCGACAAGGCAAGCAGAGCTACATGGTTGATGAGAAGAAACACTTCTGTAATAAAAAGTCACCAAAAATTGTAGAAGACAAAGACGGACACCCAAGCAGTAGTTAAAAGGGAATGGAAGCGTAGTGTTGTCCGTACGCGTTCTTCCTTTAAAAGTGTCTGACGTTTTAAAAAATCAAAACTTTCTATTGTTGGATAGAAGAAAGGTAAAGCTCTTAAGCTAAGTTTATCCCGCGCTCTAATATTGTCATTTTTTTTTTTCAGTGCAATTACCGAGATATTTCTCATTTTTTTCCCGATATTTTTGCGTATTTAATGAGGCAGAAAGTTGTATTTCCGTTTCTTGGTGAATTTCTCAGAGACTTAAATTCTCCGCAGAAAATCGGGATGATATTTTCGAAAGTGATTCCCTAAAAGTGTTCTTTAGGCAAAGTTACAGGGCTTGAGTTTATTCGAGCCTGGCCAGCGATTAGTGATTCTCAATATACATCAAAAACAGTTGCAGGTCCCAATCAAGTGGGACCTAACGTAGTTAAAAAAATAAAAATAACGAAACAGTTGCTTTCAGGCCGTTTGGATGGCTAAACCGGAAACGACAAACATGTATTGCGAAAGTAGGCAACATTATTGGCCATAGACTAAACAACTTCAGTATATCCAATAACCGGGAAAATAGCACAGCAATTTATTTTTTAAGGTACATATTAAGAGCGTGTCCATGTAAAAAGCGACCACTCAAATTTTTGTGGCTAATGAATTGCCTTAATTTTTGCCACACAAGTCAAGCCAGACATGTAATGAACGAAAATGGCCTTTATTTTGACAGACCCGCTTTCTTAATTTTTTGAAGAGTTTTTTTTTTTTTTTTTGTAAGCGCACCTCAAAAACCACACAAGACCGGAAATTCAAACTCCAAAATTTGCACAATTCTTTCCTCAATTTCCTTATCCTCTAGGAAACGTATTTGCCATTTTGGCTGACATAGCCAAATGTATTTTTTTCAAAAGCGGGAACTCTCCATAAATTATGACTTTTATCAGCTCAATGTACTAGGTTTAGCCTACAAATATCTGTATTAAAAAAATATGATCACTCATAATTTTGAAGCGGAAAAATTCGAGAAAGTACCTAAAAATACAACATTTTGGGTAGAAACCGACGAATCTCGTCCTTTAGTTGTAATGCGGTTTTAATTTTCTCAGCCAATTGCCTACTATTACCTGGTTAGATTTGTTGCACTTTAACATCAGGAGAACTTGGTCCACATTTTTGCAATACAGACCGAAAACATCACCCACTGACGAAATAATTTTGATGATTGCTTTGTCAAACATAAATAAATGCTTACTTTTCACGCGCGCGTTTACCGATATTGAATCGTGACAACGCATCAATTTATCAGCAGATTAGAAAGAGCCATTATAATGAATACCTAACTTGATCCCAGAGTTCTTTGCGCAGACACGTGTATCCGATTACTGGCAACTCCTTTATTCTTTTCTCTATATGGACCACAACAAATTCATTTTTCGGCACAAAATCAATTATTTCAAAATTGAGGGGAATCGGCGGGAACGGCGAGGGGAAAATTAGCGAAAAAAATAAATTAAAAGAAAATGATTTGTTTCCTTCTCCTTAACAGCTGATACGCATTACCTTACAGCTGTTTGACCAAAAATAACAGGGATGAAAAAAACGGTCATTATATTTTATTTGAGTTAATTCCATCCTTATTTAATTTTATTTATGATGAGGTCTCCATATAACGCGCGCTCTTATTGGCTTAAACAGCGTGCTCTATCAGAAAAAAAAAAATGCGCGGTAAGTTAAATTTTGAATTTTTGCTTCGGAGATTTGACAAATCTGACCCAAAGTAAACGCTCCTGGCAATCTTGCTGCAAGCCGTAGATACCTTTAACTCCTTTCAAATACAGCTCAGAATTTTGCATTTTCATCCGCAAGCTTTGAGCTCTTTGTTTCGTCAGTTCCATTGGAAAAGTCCAGTTTTTGATTGAGAGCTGTTGTCTTGTTAGCCAATTATTTGAATATTCCTAACAAGGATTCTGATTTGCTTATTTTAGCGTGCTTTCTCAGAGAACAGATACACGTTGACGCCACTTTTCCTCGTTTTGAAAATAAAGTCTGG